CCGCAGAGCTTGGACCCTGCCCTGGGTCAGACCCCAGCCGCCCCTTACCGGTCTCCTTTCGATCTGCGTTTCTGGAGGCTCTTGCCTTTGGGTCTCCTCTCGCTGCCGATGCAGAAGACGCCTCCCGGGCCAGTCACCCGGATAGACTCCAAACCTTTGGATGACTTCTTGAAGGTGAACTCGACAGCTTCGCCCTCCTTCAGGCTGCGGAAACCCTCCATGTGGAGCTTGCTCTGGGAGGCACAGGGAAAGGATGGGGGTCAGCACCGAGCCGGGGTGTCCGCACCGAGCCGGGGTGTCTGCCGGGCACTCAGAAAGCCCCAGCCCAGCAAACACCTCCCGTGGCACCAGAGCTGCCAACGGCCCCTGTAGCTGCCTCTTACGAGGGGACGGATAGCGGGGACTGAGCTTAACCAGGCACTTTCATCTCCCTAAAATCCCTGGAGCCCCATTTGGTAACGCACAGCCTTCAGCGAGCTGAGACACCCGGCTGAGTAGGGCTCGCTGGCAGGCAAGGGCTGGCAGCTCTGACCTGAATTTCAACAGTATGTGCTGCAAAAATCTGTTTCTCAGGGCTGCAGAACAGCCCCCTGCTCCCACCGACACCCCAGGCTGGGGAGCAAGAGCTGCTCCTGCACCTCCCAGCGCCCCGGGCTGGGGATGCTCAGGAGGAGATCCAAAAATGCCATTTTAAAAAGAAAAAAGGATCTTGAGGCTTTGCAGAGGCACATGTTACCCTGCTCGTGGCAGGACACACAGCAAGGCCAGGAGACTGGAAGCTGGGGCTGCTGGCCTGGGGTCCCAGCCAGCCCCCTGCACTGCAGCTCACCTCGGTTCAAGCACTTTAAATGCCCCCAATAATTAATTAAGCAGCCATTTGGCCCTGGATTGTCACTGCTGGGAGCATCTCCTGTCCCTGCCAGGATTGCCACAGCAGTGCAATCAAACTCGGGAGTTCAGACCCAGGCTGGGGAGGGGGGTTGTGGGGTCCAAAAAACCCACTCCGCTTTCATGTGCTCCATCCATTTTAGCAGAACTAATTCGTACGGAGCCGAGACGGGCGATGCAGCGACATCTCTTGCCCCCCTGCGCCAGCAAGCGCTGCCGTGAGCAGCACTGCCTGCTCCGCCGGACCAGGACCGACACTTCCCAGCAGCAATTCCAGCTCAGCTTCCTTCGTGGAGCCCAAACGAGCGCGAGCAAAGAGTTAAGAGGGGTTTGCTGGCAGAGGGAGGAGCAGCTCCAGCGGGCTGGGGAGTCCCGGCAGAGCCGGCGCCAACGCCTGCGCGGCTGCAGCAGGACCCAGCATTTACGCCTCCGAGGCTGCAGCAGGACCCAGCATTTATGAATGGAGCATCTCCCCCATTCATGGCCCGGCGAGTTCCCGTCACGTGGGCCGCGGCCGCCCATTCTTCCCGCACCGAGCCGCCGGCGCACGCTGCCTGGGGACGGGCAGGCATGGTTGGTTCCCCTTTCCCTTCCCCTCTTCCGCCCCAAATCTTGCCAGGACCCACGTGGAATCACCCCACGTAAAAGCAGAGAGGGAGAAAATGAAGTTGTTGAGTTTCAGGAGTGAACTGTTTTTGGCCAGGTCTTGCAGGACGTGCATGTGTCTGTGGACATGAGAGAAGTGGGAACGCAGCAGAACTTGAGGAACCACCCTTGAGACCCCTTTTTCCCTGTTCTGTGCCTGGGGGCCCAGACCCCACGGGCTGGGCCATGATACCCACTTGCACCCGGTCTATTTGCCCGCTGGGACAAGGTGCAGGGCGAGCCAGATGGGATCGTCAGAAACCTCGGCTCTCCAACCTGCTTCTGCTCCCAAAGGGGAGAGCCAAACCGTGAGCTACGAGGTCCCCAAAGGCAACAAGGACACGACAGGGTCTCACAGCAGCCTCTGCCCATCCAGGGGTGGTCTGGGCAGTCCCATCACCACCCACCGCTGGCAGACACCCTGCCATGCTTGGCGCGATGGCCAGACACTGCTTCCCAACCCCACCTTGGCTTTCCCCCGGTGCTGAGCATCACCAGGGTGCTGAGCATCACCCAAGCAGGAGCTCTGCATCTGAAGCAGCTGCCAGCACAACACAGGAGATGCCTGGTTCAGCCTCGGCACCTCGGGGTTGGCCACCGACCCTGCCCCATCCCCAGTGTGTCACCACACCAGCCCCCTCGAACCCCCCCT